TTATTATTTTAAAGTTTAGTTGCAGAAAATCTGACTTTTTTCCCCTCAAACAGGAGTCGAAAGCGCTAGAGACGGATACCCGGTGGACGAAAAGGGTTGCAAACTATCTTGTGCTATCAATGATAAATGGTGTAATTCCGCATGCCACTATAGAGGCGCCAAATATGGATATTGCTACACAGGAGGATTGGCGTGCTACTGCGAATCAGTTCCTGATGACGTGAAAGTATGGTCCTACGAAACTAATACCTGTGGAAAAAAATAAAATATATCTGTCTTTATTTTTTGACACGTTTTCTGATAATATGTAACTTGATAACTGATATTAAATCATAATCGTACATTAAAAGTTTTTCTTCTTCGACTGATTATTTTTATAAAATATTCGTGTTTATCACATGAATTCAGTAATAAATTACTACTTTTCCGACTGTTATATATAACAGAGGAAAAGTATGGCGATCGATCGAATATAACCCCCCCCAGAATTTCACATTTTTAGAATCTGGACACCTATGGATAATAGTGTGTGTGTGTGTGTGTGTGTGTGAGACGATTTTGTTCACCCTGTTTGAAGCTTAATAACTCGTGTGCTTTATGTTGAAAATTTCTGTAATTTGGCAGGGTGATTTGATTGCTACGGGGACTGATGATATTAAATTTTGGTGATTAAAGGTCGAGGAGGTGGGGGAAATAAAGGGGGTCGTGTTTATCTTCAGTCGGACGTAATTACGATTTTACTCGTTATTGTCATTTACAATTGTTTGTAATACACATCTCTATCCCTAAAATTAAGCTTTATCCCATTTTATAATTGTAAAAAATATAACACATTTTAAAAATGAAATATAACAACAGACGATGCCACCAAACGTTGCCGGGAAAGTTAAGCAACTCGTTTGGATCTTTCTATTAGCTATTCTTTTAAGTTGAATTCTTCCCTAAGAGTTGGAAAATGTTTAGCTGAAATGAAATCTTCCTTACTTAAATACTTCTTAAGATTTAAATTGTGTAAAACATTAAAATTATTAATGTTTCGAAGTGTTTCTAATTTATGAATCGTGATATTTTTTCCTATAATTAATTACACTCTAACGAATTTTTGAATCGGTTTGGATACGTAAGAGGAATGCGGCAACGTAATACGTGGGCGATGTCACCCTATGAGAAAGTGGTTCCTATTTTGATATAAAACACGTAAATGACACCCAGAAAAGTCAACGTGGCCAGCCAGTTTGTTTGCGTTTTGTAGTTTTATCCATCCGACTACTCGTTGGCATCCATTTTCTGAAATGTCAATTTATAAAAGTTCAGTTTAACGAATTCCTATTAAGTTTTCCGTCCTCTGAACGCTAAAAAGTGTTTTTATTTTCCTTCATGAGCGCGGCTGAGCTTTTAATGTAAGTGATTAATGACAAAGGATAAAGATCAACATATCCGGGATTGATAGCCAATGTAAATTTCTGATTCCCGACCCGAATGCGGTTACGATTTAATTAATTATTATTCTAATTATCGGTGTCATTTTTACTAGTTATTCCTTTGTTGTTTAACAATGCGATCACGTCTTTTATCATACATATAAATTAATTGTCTTCTATTAGAAAATAGCTGATAAACAGAACAATCTTCCTCATTAAATTTATTAAATCGAGTTTGTTATGAGTAAAATTATGTATACATTCCTTCATATTATTTGTACACCCAAATGCATACGACATTGGTATTTTCGTTCTATATCACTTTATTCGAAATAAGTCCTAATTAATCATTTGTTATAAAATTTTGTCATTTTTACAATTATTTTTCACAGAATTGTTCATAAAATCCCGATTGAAGAAACAAAGCAAACGTGCAAAAACACTTTAATTTACAATACAAAAATACAATACAATAAGTAAATATTATGTTAATTGCGAATTTTACAAATTAAAAGAGAATAATAATATAAATTTATCTAAAATTATAGGAAAAACTTCCTTTAAATGAAGGAAAGTTAAGAGGAATAATCAAGTTCAGTATCATTACAACAATAGAAAACAAATCTGTATCATAAAGACTGACAGATACACTTTTAAAAACTCTTGGTTTAAAACTTGTTTTCTCTTGAATTGTTATGGTTCTTCGTTTACTTGTTCAGCCGTATTTCTGTTTCTTAAATATTTACAGATTTTCTCACCAATATACGATAAACAATACACACCGCAAGCAATGATTACAACACTGGTGAGGATAACCGTAGCAGCAAAGACAGCAGTCATCGTATAAGATTTTAAGATTCTAGGATCACGCTTTGGAGAAAATAAATAAGCCAATGTAATAAAAATGGCTAAGGCAACAATAAAGCCAATAACTGTGAATTTTTTTCGGTTGCTGTCGATGGTGTTAACGAAATTTAAACATTTTTCTACACGAGAAATACTGCCGTCGTCCACTGTATCGACAGAAGGAATTCCCCTGTAAATTCCCGAATCGACACACTGACTGCTCTGAAATATCGGTACTTCAATATCATTTTCGTCACGAACGGATTGTCTTCTACGTATAGGTATTAATTCAACGTAGATCTCTTCAGATGATGTATCAATAGTTGGAGTATCTAAGTGTCTTACAGTAGGAGTTAATCGCGTGAAGTTATCATCGGAATTCGAATTTCCACTCCACTTAAAAGAATCACTTAAAACACTTAAAGAATTACTGCGAACACGAGAAAAATTTGCTTCCGCCATCTTACTGAAAGCAATTAAACAACAAATTATTAAATTTTATACAATAATTAGAATATTTCTGTAAAATACTTACTCTATTATCACTCAATTCACCAGCTCTAAAGATGAAAACGTCTTGTAGAGGTAGACCTATACGAAGAGATTCCCAGTTGCACCTTGTAATTTGTATAATTATACGTGTTCAGCAGAGTTGCAAGTGACCATTTTGATTATATTAAGTTATTTAATGGTATAAATCTATTATTAAATTAAAATGTAAATTATAAAATACCTAGTATTACTATAGAAAGGCAGTTTATAATTTACATAATACTACGATGGTATCAAAATGATTTTTAAGAAATTTGCGGGATTTTCCGGGATATTTCCCTGGTTAAAAAAACAGTAGGGATTTCGGGATCCCGTTGGAAAAAGTTTAATTGTTCAAGAGGTCTAAAGAAACAATGTAATAAAAGGTAATTTATTGTAAAGAATAGAAGTGAAAGACGAGCAATTATTGGTCACAATTGGTCACAATTCACATGGTCACAATTCTGGGCTGCAATTTTTAATCATATTTTAAATTTATTTAACTTAAAACATATGCTCTCCACTTCATATTAGTAGTGGCTTGCCTCTGTACATCATACTTTTCCTTTAACAATGAAGTGCCGGTCATCTATCTAACACCTTTCAGAAGAAAATTTTTAATTTGAAATAACGTAATTTCCGGTTTGCATCGGGGCATCCCCGTTCCTAAGGTTTTCATGTCTTGTCTGGTCTTTCATCTAACTCCATTCTCGAGATTAAGGAATGACGGTGGGAATTAATAGGTCTGCAAGTTACAGCCCAACAATAACAGAACAAGCTATCTTTAAATATTGTCTTTTTAAGTACATTTTTTATAAATGTTTGTACGAAACGTTGTTTCTTTTATTACGTATTATTTTCTTTCATACAACACAAACCCGCAACGAACCATGCGACACGCGCGGCAGTACTGTCTAGACAACTAATTGACCTTGTGGACATCTGTTACTTGATATCTCTGGTCATTACCATGAACGTCTCAGGAGAGGACAGGTTTCTAGACAATAGGGTATGAGTTACCATAAATACTCAAATATATCACGTAATTTTCGAACATTTATACTCTTTCAATAGATGGAGACCACATAAATCGTCCAAAATGAAAACGTCTATTGGGTATATAATTTCAAAATTTGCTGAGGTCATAAACAACATCCAATAGGATGTAAAATAAGCTTCGCCCGAGTTATCTCGTCCATTGGAAGATTAGAAAGGATAATTGAAAATTGGACGAGTTATCTCGTCAATGGGCGTTAGGGCCTTATATCTGGAAGCAGGTTTAACTATCCACCCCTGTATAATTCATAGAGAAAATATGTTTTCGAAACTCATTGCAAATCAGGATTATACTTTTTTGCAATTATTTAATGTCATTAAACAATAAACTTAAAGTAATAATGTGTTGTGATTGCACTATTTACCACTAATCCCAAATTAATATTCTAATGATAAAAATTAAACTGTTTATTCAGGATTTAAAGTGATAAGCTCGCAATTTGTTTTACTTTCCCTGTTGTTACATACACATAACAAGGAAAAGTATTAAAATGGTGTCAAATACAATACAGATATATAAAGAGGTGTATTTCAATCACGAGAGGACTGAAATCGAGCTTTCTTACAGGTGGAAAACAACCCATTTGACGTGGCAAAAACACGAGTTCTAATCCAAAAAACTTCCTTCTAATTTTAAATCAATACGGATAAATACGGTGCAATACAGATAAACCGTAAGTAATTGATCTGTCTTAGCCTCGTTTATACCACTGGGTTTAGTAATTACGAAGATCTGAATCGGAAATATTGTTGCAGTCTTGATGGATTCTGCTTAATAAAACACATTTTTAGTGTGTATTATCGCGTATCTTGAATAAAATACTCATTTTCACGAAAATTTCATGCTAATATTCGTGAAAAAGTGCAAAAATGTTTACTCCACCATCCTTAGTGTAAACTTTTTGTTCCAATGATTTGAAAATTAATATAATTACTCTTTATAAAGATAATTTCTTGCACTCATCTAAGATGCAAACTGGTTTACATTAGCACATAAAACATTTTATATGATATTAAGTGTTGACATTCTTCTATTTACTGATAGAAGAGTGGGAGTTTCACGATTTTTGTAGGTTGATGATCCTAACAATCGAAAAAAATCATTTATGAAGTCTCAATAAAAGAAATCAAGCAAATAAATGGAACTATTTTAATTTACATGCAAAAAAGTTTTAAATTACATAATACAATTTTGAATAAAGATAACAAAGTTCAACGTTTTTTCCTTGTGAGAAAGACTACTCTTTGATGATAACTTGAGAGGAAGAATAAAGTTCCTCTCAAACTTTTACTGTAGAATATGAACTCTGATAAAGATGCTATAAAGATCACGGATCCTCTTCTTTCAGATGACTCATTTTAAAATTTGTCTTCTTCTGAAAGGATATTTTATTGCCTATCGTTCCTCTTCGTTTTCTTCTTCAGTTAGAATATTATTTTTCAGTAAATTATAAATTATTTTACTTATATATATATATATGAGCAGTTGGCCCCCCACCTAATGAGCACAAGAAAAAAACAAAAGGTGAATGCAATTATTTAAATATCAATTATTTCAATATTTAAAAAATACTGTTTGATCACTCTGAAAATGAATATAATAAAGATATGTAGAAACAATAATAATGGCAATAGAAAAACCAATCACCGAGAGTGTACCAAAGTTCTGCTTGACATTTTTCACTGAATTTAAGCATTTACTTAGATACGAAGTAGTGTTCGTATCGTCTGCTGAAGTAACATCGAAGGAGGAAATTTCCTCGTAGACTTCCGAAGCATTATTCTGAGGTGGTGTGGAAGGTATTTCCTCGTAGATTTCCGAAGCGGTGCTCTGAGGTGGTGTGGAAGGTATTTCCTCGTAGATTTCCGAAGCTGTGCTCTGAGGACGTGAGGAAGAAATTTCCTCGTAGTTTCCCGAAGCAACACTCTGACTGCTATCAATTATCGATACTTCATCGTTTTCGTGGCTTCGGTTTCTTAGTGAAGGTGTAAGTTGAACGTCGTTCTCTGTATATGGTGTATCGCAGCTTGGTGTATCTAAGTTTCTATTAAATTGTATATAATTATCTTCTGAAATCGAATTCTCTTTCCACAAAGCTTCTAAAGAACCACTGAGAGCACGTAAAGAATCACTCCGAGCACGAGTAGGATTTGCTTCCGCCATCTTACTGAAAGCAATTAAACAACAAATTATTAAATTTTATACAACAATTAGAATATTTCTGTAAAATACTTACTCTATTATCACTCAATTCACCAGCTCTAAAGATGAAAACGGCTTGTAGAGGTAGACCTATACGAAGAGATTCCCAGATGCACCTTGTAATTTGTATAATTATACGTGTTCGGCAGAACTACAAGTGACCATTTTGATTAACTTAAATTATTTAATGGTATAAATTCTATTATTAAATTAAAATGTAAATTATAAAATATCTAGTCTTACTATAGAAAGGCAGTTTACGATTTACATAATACTGTGATCGCATCAATAATAACACCGAAATAATAAACTCATTTATACCTTACGATTTGCATTATAATACGTGTTCAACGGAGCTGTAAATTGCAAATTTGGATTAATATAAAATTAACAGGTTTATAAAAGTTTGATATTGTCGAAATTAAAATAATAAATTACTTGTTTTATTTTATAAATTATACTAGTAGAGTGATAAAAACTTCCATATTATTTAATTACATAATATAGAACCTATTGAACTTCATATAAATTTAATGCTGTTTGATAGCGATCTTTTGAGAAACGATTTATGTGAAGATCTATTTAACAATTAAAGAATGTGAACCCTTAATTTGCATATAAATGAATGAAAGATGGGAAATATGGAATAATAAGCAAACGAAGAGCGAAAAGTAAATATGAAATCCACGTGGCCAGCCTATTGGCGAGGCTCGAGCCTACGACCAAATGTTCAGTGGTTTTATCAACTGACTGCTGGTCAGCCTTAGTTGCCAGTTTCCCAAAGAAAGTCCTCCCAGGAGGTACTTCTTTGGCAGATGGCCCACGTGTGGCGTTGCCGTAAACAAATAAATCAAACAAGCCCTTAAGGTATGCATATCTGGTATTGACTTTCATCTTTGTAATTCAGTTTTCAGGATTTTAACGAAAGACAGACAGCCTGATGAGAGAGAGAATGTACTGGTCTGCAATTTGAAAATTGCAACCCAATAATTGGCCTTTTCGGCCATCCTGCGATACTGTGTAACACAGTATCGCAGGATGTAATTACTATGTAATACACAGTAATTACATATTTTGATAATGATCAAACTTAGATAAAGAGAATTTCGTTGCAGGTTTGTTTCTGTTTAGCTAAGCTCCTCCACACTACTGAAAATTGCTCATACTGAAGAATTTTTCGAAGATAATTTTACCAAAATGGACGACGTTTTGTGGCCACTCCGATGTTCATATCGCTTCTAGTAGTCTGCCAACAAATTGCCTGAAAGCTTAAACACAATTTTGAGTGGCCAAATGAATAATAATAAATACATACCAAATGAAAAAGAACCCCATGGATAAGACAGAGAACAGAAGATTTTTTATGAGATTTCTGTTAGTTACATCTGGATAGCAGAAATCAGCAGCAATAACCACGGAAATGAAAGTAATTGGGTAGTAGATAAAGCCTATAACATTCGGGCCACACAAAATTTGTATGATATTTAGTTTTATCATCATCACCCGAAGGATTTTCATCGATTACTAAATCCTCCAAGCTAAGTATTTCGGGAATTTTGCCTATAAATGACGAGACTTTTGGTCTCACTTCAGGAACGTCGAGGGTTTTTCTATGAGTTCGTGGTTATCCGCAGGTTGAACTTCTTTCTTGACAAGAAGAAGAAGAAGATGATGATGTCCCAGCATCATCATCAGTTTGATTAAAAGTTATGTTAGGAATATGCACAGGTTTTGTACATTCTGTACTGTATTATTTCATAATTCTAATAGAATTTCTAAGTTTGTATAAAATTTAATAATTTGTTGTTTAATTGCTTTCAGTAAGATGGCGGAAGCAAATCCTACTCGTGCTCGGAGTGATTCTTTACGTGCTCTCAGTGGTTCTTTAGAAGCTTTGTGGAAAGAGAATTCGATTTCAGAAGATAATTATATACAATTTAATAGAAACTTAGATACACCAAGCTGCGATACACCATATACAGAGAACGACGTTCAACTTACACCTTCACTAAGAAACCGAAGCCACGAAAACGATGAAGTATCGATAATTGATAGCAGTCAGAGTGTTGCTTCGGGAAACTACGAGGAAATTTCTTCCTCACGTCCTCAGAGCACAGCTTCGGAAATCTACGAGGAAATACCTTCCACACCACCTCAGAGCACCGCTTCGGAAATCTACGAGGAAATACCTTCCACACCACCTCAGAATAATGCTTCGGAAGTCTACGAGGAAATTTCCTCCTTCGATGTTACTTCAGCAGACGATACGAACACTACTTCGTATCTAAGTAAATGCTTAAATTCAGTGAAAAATGTCAAGCAGAACTTTGGTACACTCTCGGTGATTGGTTTTTCTATTGCCATTATTATTGTTTCTACATATCTTTATTATATTCATTTTCAGAGTGATCAAACAGTATTTTTTAAATATTGAAATAATTGATATTTAAATAATTGCATTCACCTTTTGTTTTTTTCTTGTGCTCATTAGGTGGGGGGCCAACTGCTCATATATATATATATAAGTAAAATAATTTATAATTTACTGAAAAATAATATTCTAACTGAAGAAGAAAACGAAGAGGAACGATAGGCAATAAAATATCCTTTCAGAAGAAGACAAATTTTAAAATGAGTCATCTGAAAGAAGAGGATCCGTGATCTTTATAGCATCTTTATCAGAGTTCATATTCTACAGTAAAAGTTTGAGAGGAACTTTATTCTTCCTCTCAAGTTATCATCAAAGAGTAGTCTTTCTCACAAGGAAAAAACGTTGAACTTTGTTATCTTTATTCAAAATTGTATTATGTAATTTAAAACTTTTTTGCATGTAAATTAAAATAGTTCCATTTATTTGCTTGATTTCTTTTATTGAGACTTCATAAATGATTTTTTTCGATTATTAGGATCATCAACCTACAAAAATCGTGAAACTCCCACTCTTCTATCAGTAAATAGAAGAATGTCAACACTTAATATTATATAAAATGTTTTATGTGCTAATGTAAACCAGTTTGCATCTTAGATGAGTGCAAGAAATTATCTTTATAAAGAGTAATTATATTAATTTTCAAATCATTGGAACAAAAAGTTTACACTAAGGATGGTGGAGTAAACATTTTTGCACTTTTTCACGAATATTAGCATGAAATTTTCGTGAAAATGAGTATTTTATTCAAGATACGCGATAATACACACTAAAAATGTGTTTTATTAAGCAGAATCCATCAAGACTGCAACAATATTTCCGATTCAGATCTTCGTAATTACTAAACCCAGTGGTATAAACGAGGCTAAGACAGATCAATTACTTACGGTTTATCTGTATTGCACCGTATTTATCCGTATTGATTTAAAATTAGAAGGAAGTTTTTTGGATTAGAACTCGTGTTTTTGCCACGTCAAATGGGTTGTTTTCCACCTGTAAGAAAGCTCGATTTCAGTCCTCTCGTGATTGAAATACACCTCTTTATATATCTGTATTGTATTTGACACCATTTTAATACTTTTCCTTGTTATGTGTATGTAACAACAGGGAAAGTAAAACAAATTGCGAGCTTATCACTTTAAATCCTGAATAAACAGTTTAATTTTTATCATTAGAATATTAATTTGGGATTAGTGGTAAATGGTGCAATCACAACACATTATTACTTTAAGTTTATTGTTTAATGACATTAAATAATTGCAAAAAAGTATAATCCTGATTTGCAATGAGTTTCGAAAACATATTTTCTCTATGAATTATACAGGGGTGGATAGTTAAACCTGCTTCCAGATATAAGGCCCTAACGCCCATTGACGAGATAACTCGTCCAATTTTCAATTATCCTTTCTAATCTTCCAATGGACGAGATAACTCGGGCGAAGCTTATTTTACATCCTATTGGATGTTGTTTATGACCTCAGCAAATTTTGAAATTATATACCCAATAGACGTTTTCATTTTGGACGATTTATGTGGTCTCCATCTATTGAAAGAGTATAAATGTTCGAAAATTACGTGATATATTTGAGTATTTATGGTAACTCATACCCTATTGTCTAGAAACCTGTCCTCTCCTGAGACGTTCATGGTAATGACCAGAGATATCAAGTAACAGATGTCCACAAGGTCAATTAGTTGTCTAGACAGTACTGCCGCGCGTGTCGCATGGTTCGTTGCGGGTTTGTGTTGTATGAAAGAAAATAATACGTAATAAAAGAAACAACGTTTCGTACAAACATTTATAAAAAATGTACTTAAAAAGACAATATTTAAAGATAGCTTGTTCTGTTATTGTTGGGCTGTAACTTGCAGACCTATTAATTCCCACCGTCATTCCTTAATCTCGAGAATGGAGTTAGATGAAAGACCAGACAAGACATGAAAACCTTAGGAACGGGGATGCCCCGATGCAAACCGGAAATTACGTTATTTCAAATTAAAAATTTTCTTCTGAAAGGTGTTAGATAGATGACCGGCACTTCATTGTTAAAGGAAAAGTATGATGTACAGAGGCAAGCCACTACTAATATGAAGTGGAGAGCATATGTTTTAAGTTAAATAAATTTAAAATATGATTAAAAATTGCAGCCCAGAATTGTGACCATGTGAATTGTGACCAATTGTGACCAATAATTGCTCGTCTTTCACTTCTATTCTTTACAATAAATTACCTTTTATTACATTGTTTCTTTAGACCTCTTGAACAATTAAACTTTTTCCAACGGGATCCCGAAATCCCTACTGTTTTTTTAACCAGGGAAATATCCCGGAAAATCCCGCAAATTTCTTAAAAATCATTTTGATACCATCGTAGTATTATGTAAATTATAAACTGCCTTTCTATAGTAATACTAGGTATTTTATAATTTACATTTTAATTTAATAATAGATTTATACCATTAAATAACTTAATATAATCAAAATGGTCACTTGCAACTCTGCTGAACACGTATAATTATACAAATTACAAGGTGCAACTGGGAATCTCTTCGTATAGGTCTACCTCTACAAGACGTTTTCATCTTTAGAGCTGGTGAATTGAGTGATAATAGAGTAAGTATTTTACAGAAATATTCTAATTATTGTATAAAATTTAATAATTTGTTGTTTAATTGCTTTCAGTAAGATGGCGGAAGCAAATTTTTCTCGTGTTCGCAGTAATTCTTTAAGTGTTTTAAGTGATTCTTTTAAGTGGAGTGGAAATTCGAATTCCGATGATAACTTCACGCGATTAACTCCTACTGTAAGACACTTAGATACTCCAACTATTGATACATCATCTGAAGAGATCTACGTTGAATTAATACCTATACGTAGAAGACAATCCGTTCGTGACGAAAATGATATTGAAGTACCGATATTTCAGAGCAGTCAGTGTGTCGATTCGGGAATTTACAGGGGAATTCCTTCTGTCGATACAGTGGACGACGGCAGTATTTCTCGTGTAGAAAAATGTTTAAATTTCGTTAACACCATCGACAGCAACCGAAAAAAATTCACAGTTATTGGCTTTATTGTTGCCTTAGCCATTTTTATTACATTGGCTTATTTATTTTCTCCAAAGCGTGATCCTAGAATCTTAAAATCTTATACGATGACTGCTGTCTTTGCTGCTACGGTTATCCTCACCAGTGTTGTAATCATTGCTTGCGGTGTGTATTGTTTATCGTATATTGGTGAGAAAATCTGTAAATATTTAAGAAACAGAAATACGGCTGAACAAGTAAACGAAGAACCATAACAATTCAAGAGAAAACAAGTTTTAAACCAAGAGTTTTTAAAAGTGTATCTGTCAGTCTTTATGATACAGATTTGTTTTCTATTGTTGTAATGATACTGAACTTGATTATTCCTCTTAACTTTCCTTCATTTAAAGGAAGTTTTTCCTATAATTTTAGATAAATTTATATTATTATTCTCTTTTAATTTGTAAAATTCGCAATTAACATAATATTTACTTATTGTATTGTATTTTTGTATTGTAAATTAAAGTGTTTTTGCACGTTTGCTTTGTTTCTTCAATCGGGATTTTATGAACAATTCTGTGAAAAATAATTGTAAAAATGACAAAATTTTATAACAAATGATTAATTAGGACTTATTTCGAATAAAGTGATATAGAACGAAAATACCAATGTCGTATGCATTTGGGTGTACAAAAAATATGAAGGAATGTATACATAATTTTACTCATAACAAACTCGATTTAATAAATTTAATGAGGAAGATTGTTCTGTTTATCAGCTATTTTCTAATAGAAGACAATTAATTTATATGTATGATAAAAGACGTGATCGCATTGTTAAACAACAAAGGAATAACTAGTAAAAATGACACCGATAATTAGAATAATAATTAATTAAATCGTAACCGCATTCGGGTCGGGAATCAGAAATTTACATTGGCTATCAATCCCGGATATGTTGATCTTTATCCTTTGTCATTAATCACTTACATTAAAAGCTCAGCCGCGCTCATGAAGGAAAATAAAAACACTTTTTAGCGTTCAGAGGACGGAAAACTTAATAGGAATTCGTTAAACTGAACTTTTATAAATTGACATTTCAGAAAATGGATGCCAACGAGTAGTCGGATGGATAAAACTACAAAACGCAAACAAACTGGCTGGCCACGTTGACTTTTCTGGGTGTCATTTACGTGTTTTATATCAAAATAGGAACCACTTTCTCATAGGGTGACATCGCCCACGTATTACGTTGCCGCATTCCTCTTACGTATCCAAACCGATTCAAAAATTCGTTAGAGTGTAATTAATTATAGGAAAAAATATCACGATTCATAAATTAGAAACACTTCGAAACATTAATAATTTTAATGTTTTACACAATTTAAATCTTAAGAAGTATTTAAGTAAGGAAGATTTCATTTCAGCTAAACATTTTCCAACTCTTAGGGAAGATTTCAACTTAAAAGAATAGCTAATAGAAAGATCCAAACGAGTTGCTTAACTTTCCCGGCAACGTTTGGTGGCATCGTCTGTTGTTATATTTCATTTTTAAAATGTGTTATATTTTTTACAATTATAAAATGGGATAAAGCTTAATTTTAGGGATAGAGATGTGTATTACAAACAATTGTAAATGACAATAACGAGTAAAATCGTAATTACGTCCGACTGAAGATAAACACGACCCCCTTTATTTCCCCCACCTCCTCGACCTTTAATCACCAAAATTTAATATCATCAGTCCCCGTAGCAATCAAATCACCCTGCCAAATTACAGAAATTTTCAACATAAAGCACACGAGTTATTAAGCTTCAAACAGGGTGAACAAAATCGTCTCACACACACACACACACACACACACTATTATCCATAGGTGTCCAGATTCTAAAAATGTGAAATTCTGGGGGGGGTTATATTCGATCGATCGCCATACTTTTCCTCTGTTATATATAACAGTCGGAAAAGTAGTAATTTATTACTGAATTCATGTGATAAACACGAATATTTTATAAAAATAATCAGTCGAAGAAGAAAAACTTTTAATGTACGATTATGATTTAATATCAGTTATCAAGTTACATATTATCAGAAAACGTGTCAAAAGGTAAAGACAGATATATTTTATTTTTTTCCACAGGTATTAGTTTCGTAGGACCATACTTTCACGTCATCAGGAACTGATTCGCAATAGCACGCCAATCCTCCTGTGTAGCAATATCCATATTTGGCGCCTCTATAGTGGCATGCGGAATTACACCATTTATCATTGATAGCACAAGATAGTTTGCAACCCTTTTCGTCCACCGGGTATCCGTCTCTAGCGCTTTCGACTCCTGTTTGAGGGGAAAAAAGTCAGATTTTCTGCAACTAAACTTTAAAATAATAACAAAAATAATGTAAAAAGGAAGAGAAATTAAAAATTAATGAAAATGATTATTCTTCGAGTAACTGTTTCCTGAACGAAATTGATATTTCTTATAAACAAATAAATTAAAGTATAATTACTTAAAGACAACTAAGAATTGTGATCACGTGGAATTTTCATGATATGTAGAACATAAAATAGGTTTCAAAATTAAGCTCACGAATAAAAAATCTGGATCATTTTTAAAATGTTCTATTGATTTTGGATGCAGTACATTATTTTAGTTGTAAACATTTTCTTTGAACCGTGGAGTTTTAATCGTTTTTTTTAACCTATCTAACATCCAACTCAAGGCCTATTTCTTACAGGAAGTCCTCTCGATAAGTATCTGTCCTTAAGAGATCATCCGTACGTTTCATTGTAGATCTCGTTTGATATCCTGTTAATATCTACCAAAAATTATTTTTCAATCGCTTATATTTCTTTCATTAGATGAAACTAAGTAAATAAGAGATGTTTTTGAAAATTCCTTTACAACGAGGATCAGCCGTGTGGCTTGCTGCTGTTGGGTTCCGAAATTATTTCGGATTCCCATAGAATTAAGGATCGATTAAGGAATTAAGGAATTAAGGAATTAGATTGAGGATCGATTCCAGGAGAGTTGAAAGCATTCCAGGAATTTTCTGAGGTTGATCCATCGCGGATATGTCGGGCCTCGTCTTTATTATTTGGCTGCCTTGTTGTAAATCTGCTCGACCCCACAACGATGCTGGATAAGAAGCTCTCTTAATGCCCAAGAAAGGAAAAAGTCCATAAAACTCATAATTCTAGAACAGTTAACACTAAAAAGTTTCATCAATTAACAATGATTTTATTATCAACAATTAAAGAACAATAGCTATCTTTAAATATTTCTCCCCATAATCCAGACGAATTGGCCATCTGGAATATAATCATGAAACTTCTTATTTTATTACAAATTTTATGATATTTTATACATAAGTGCACATTAATCATATTATAATTTCAAATTAAAGTGAATATGAAGAAAATATTTATTGACGAAACTTTTTATGAGACATAATCCCGCTTTTAACCGAGCAATAATATTTTTTGGTATTCACTGATGATTAATGGCACTCTAACAAAATAAATCTTGAAACCTTCAGTGAATTTTTCATAACAAAATATATCTAAATAACAATCAGAGACACTTCACAACTTTTATCTATAAAGATACCGCTGGGTGCACTTAGTGATCCTTTAAAATTGGAAGCTTTAGTGAAATGTTTTGTTGCCTACGTTAAAACGTGCCATTAATAATTACTTATTGTTCAATATTTTAATTAGGAAGGAATAAAATTTTTGTAGAAGGTTTAATACGAGCTACTTAAATGATATTATTTAGAATAATTCAAATTTTAATATTAATTTTTATTCTCAGTAATGTTAGATGCAGGCAGCATAGATTTTTTTCTATGGCCTCTTAGAGATTGCGAACACGTACTGTACGTGTTCATATCCGCAACGGATCAACCTCAGAAAATTCTTGGAATGTTTTCAACTCTCCTGGAATCGATCCTGAATCCCTTCAGCGATAAGTTTGATTTCTTGGCCAGTCAGTAATGGACAGAACTAGGCGTTATACAACTCAAAGTTTGCATTTTTTTAAAACCAAATCAGTTATTTTTTATAACTAATGTCTATGTATGAAGTATAATAGCATAACAAGTTGTAACTTCAGAGTTTTAAAACTGCCAAGTTTAGCAAGAATCGAGTGGTAGATTCAATAATAAAACTGATATAGATTTTATTTAAATTATCGAAGTTTTTAAACGTATAAAAATAGAGTTTACACAGGTGTTGCGGATAGTTCTGAAATTACAGTACTTTTTATTAGAAAGTAATAATTACGACTTTATTGTTTTTGAATTTCCATTTAATATACGTTAAGAAGAATAATGGCAGATGGTCCACGGAAATGAAAATAATATAAATAGCGCGAGTATTTTACATGAGTTCATAATCACGTCAGCGAATCGTGGTGGTCCCTTCAAAGAAAAATACTAAAATAAAATCCACTTCTACAATGAAAATATTTATTGCTTTTGCTTTCATCTCAGCTTTACTACTTTTAGGTAAGGACACTTTTGCATTTTATACTTATATATTCTGATTTCAGGTCCAATAACTGCCACACGCAGAATGTTACCTCATTCTCAGTACGACGAAATACAGCTTAATCCAAAATAATTTCGGAATCCAAGAGCAGCAAGCCACACGGTTGATCCTCGTTGTAAACGAATTTTCAAAAACACCTCTTATTTACTTAATTTCATCTAATGAAAAATATATAAGCGATTGAAAAATAATTTTTGGTAGATATTAACAGGATATCAAGCAGATCTACAATGAAACGTACGGATGATCTCTTAAGGACAGATACTTATTGAGACGACTTCCTGTAAGAAATTGGGCTTAAGTTAGATGTTAGACAGGTGAAGAAAATGAGGAAAACTCTACGGTTCAAGGAAAATTTTTACAACTAAAATAATGTGCTGCATTTAAATTTAATAGAGTATATAAAATATGATCCGGATTCGTTATCCATAGACTTAGTTTAGGTATCTATTTTATGCATAAAGTGTCGTGAAAGTATCACGCGATCACAATTTTTAGTTGTCTTTAAGTAATTATACTTTAATTTATTTGTTTATAAGAAATATCAATTTCGTTTAAAAAAACAGTTACTCGAAGAATAATCATTTTGATTAATTTTTAATTTCTCTTCCTTCTTACACTATTTCTGTTATTATTTTAAAGTTTAGTTGCAGAAAAACTGACTTTCTTTTCTTCAAACAGGAGTCGAAAGTGCTAGAGACGGATACCCAGTGGACGAAAAGGGTTGCAAACTTTCTTGTTTTATCAATGATAAATGGTGTAATTCCGCATGCCACTATAGAGGCGCCAAATATGGATATTGCTACACAGGAGGATTGGCGTGCTATTGCGAATCAGTTCCTGATGACGTGAAAGTATGGACCTACGAAACTAATACCTGTGGAAAAAAATAAAATATATCTGTCTTTATTTTTTGACACGTTTTCTGATAATATGTAACTTGATAACTGATATTAAATCATAATCGTACATTAAAAGTTTTTCCTGTTCGACTGACTACTTTTATAAAATACAGTGGTGCCTCGTATAACGTACTTAATCCGTTCCAGGTGCACGTCCGTTAAGTGAAAAGTCCGTTATGCAAAACGCATTTTTCCATAGAAATGTTAAAACATATAAC